CAGCAGCCGCTGTCGGGCGGCAGCGCGCCGCCCTCATAGGAGTACGCCTCGCACAGACTGTCCTCGCCGCACGACACTGTACAGAGCACTAGACACACCTTGCACTGAGAACGGTAAGTCTGTCCATCCGGCCGAGCGCCGCTACTTACAGGACGGATGTAGACATTAGAAAAGTTTTTTCATGTAAAGTATTTATAAATCATATTTATTTTTTTTATTTGCTTTTAGCAGAGCATCGTTTTAAATCATGACTTAATATATAATAGTTTGTTAAAGAAATATATCTTACACAAGTATAAAAAATAAATTACTATTTTTGCTTAGAATCAAATCCAGCACAACTTTACTACATTAGCTTAATACTTCATTGCATTAACTGTTTAAAGGTAATGTACTTACATCTATTTACATAAGAATATGTAATTACTAAATCGATCTCATTTACCACCGAAAATATTTGGATATATTCAAAAATTTGGTCTTTTTAACTAAAAGCATTGTACTAATAGACTGGACCTGCCCAGACCAGGTGTATTGTTCTGTAGATAAATGTTAATTTGTTCCGTAGATATTTCGAAATTAACTTTGCCACTCAATTAGCATCTGAAAATATATTTTTTATAGACCATTTTTGTATGCTTTTTTTTCGTGACAAAAGTATTGTGATATTTTTTGACCGCTTTGTCTTGTAGTGTTTTATTTAGTGTAATTATCTTTTAATTGAGTGTTTGTGTAAATTAAAATGTTTTCCTCGGACATCATTAATAGTTTTAATTTGATTTATTATGAGAATGGTACTCTAATGCTTCTATGTGAAAAGCTAACAAATAAGGAAAATAGAGAAAATTATAACAAGACACACATAAAACAAACATAACTACACTTTGTCTTTTGTTTTATAAAAAATTGGTATATTTGAATAGTTAACTAAGATAGTACAATTTGTTTATAATTATCTAGGTAATAGCTCAATATATCCTTCCATTGAATTGGCCGCAGTGTTCATGTTAGCTTCTCTATATGTATGTTTACTTTATGTATTCCAATATCTTATTCACTCTAGTTAATTGCAATATTAATGTTAGATTTTATAATATGTATGTATTTTGTAAACTTGTCATTGTGGTACTGAAGAGTATGAATTTCTGAAGTGTGTAAAAGTATTGTATACTTGAAATGACAATATTTGAATTAGCTTGTTGAGTAGCATTGTGTTGAGTAGGAGCATTCCGTAGCTAGTCAAACTGCATTATTTAATTTACCAAAATAAACTATATACAGTCAAACCTGGATAAGCATGTTCAAGGGACTGCATTATTTTTCTCACTTATGGACATTGTCAGGATCAAAAAATGACTCACTAAAGGTTATGCAAGTTTGACTGTATATTGTACTTGTTTAGGCTTAATCTTTTTATTTACAAAACTATTTATTACAATGTATTTACATAAGATATTGTTTTATTGTATTTGGTGTTGAAAATAGTGCTTCACGAAATGAAAGAAAATTGTATAAACAATATATTATATTGTCTTTATGTAACTGTAATATAAAATATATACATGAAAATTATTTTATTTCTTGTACAACAATCACAAGACATTGCCTTAAGTGACAATGCCAATTGGCAGTACTGACATCCCATCTGCGTCTTGCCAACCTTGTCTCCCCGTGACCCACACTTGCCACATCTCTGTCTTGTCTCACAATGAGCTCTAGGCTTTCACAGCTTCCTTGTCAGCCTCCTCATTGTGCACTTCTTCTGCCTCCGCTTTAAACTTCTCCTGTAACAAATACTGTGATTATATCACCCTATATATTAAAAAGATCAATTCATGTTTTTATTAAGGATGTTGTGAATTTTCGAACTAAAGCCACAACCCAAACAATATATATTATATTAACCAGACAGACCAGAATCATGTTATTTTACCAGATCGTATATAACTTTGACGACAAGTGAACAGCTGGGACACGTCGCTACCTCCTCCCCCGCCATCAGCTCCTCCTAGGACATAGCAAACATGTTGAATCATTAACATAAAACCAAAACGACGTATCGAACGCGAATTTTTACTATTTATTACAAGCACTCTATAATTATAATCTTATTGACTGGTCACGAGAAACTGTAATGTAATACTCTCGATAATATTTAAATAATATAAATTACCCCTAACCTTACTAATTTGAAATCTATCACCGCATGGACAAGGATAGTAATACATATCCTCCTCTTCGTCGTAGTCGAAATCCTCAATTTCAATTTCGTCATGAAATATCGTCATTCTTTATAAATTATAACACAGTGTTTCCACGAATATTCAACATTGCAATAATCAAGGAAACTGCGCGCGTTTTCCAATTTTCCAAAGCAGTGACAGGTGACAAGGAAATGACATATTTCATAGATATTTGACATTGACAATTGCAATCTGGACACTAAAAAAACCCAGGGTTACCTTATGTATTGTTTACGAATACATTTTCCCGATTTTTTATGAGTTTTTTTACTTAATATTAATGATTCTAACAACTGCCACCACTGTAGAATTCTCTCAAGAGAGAAAGAAAACTTCGAATTAAAATTGTTGTACGTTTTACTTCAGGTTTGTTACAAGGTTGTTTCCCGATAGATAAGTACATACATTCATGTGATATGAAACTAAAAGATATTTACGGGTATAAAGTGGGCCAAGTTCTTGTTATTGTCTGGGATCAAATAAAGTTCTGAATCAAATATTTTATATGCTCTTTCTCAAACATTTCAAGACATGGCAACATTATGGTAGCACGTCACACACGTCATTAATTTCATTTAACATCATATCCAATCCGTATCTCAAGTGTATAATGATCGCGGTGGTCTCGCTAATTTTTTCATACGATTCTATTTAAAGTGGTGCAGTGAGTGAATAAGTGCCGACACGATCATATTAACAATTAGATAGTTGAAATACAATAGCAAAATGTTTAGCTGGCTTAAGAAGGAGGGAGAAAAATCTGAAAGTATCGACAATGTCGTCGAAGGGCTTAAAAGAATTTATAAAACTAAACTCCTCCCTCTGGAACTGCATTATCAATTTCATGACTTCCACTCACCGCAATTGGAGGAGCCTGACTTCGATGCCAAGCCCATGATACTTTTGGTAGGACAATACTCAACCGGTAAAACGACCTTCATCAAATATCTCCTAGAAAGAGATTTTCCGGGTATCAGAATCGGTCCGGAGCCCACGACCGATCGGTTTATAGCAGTAATGTATGACGAAAAAGAAGGCGTAATACCAGGTAACGCTCTCGTCGTCGACCCAAAGAAACAGTTCCGCCCTCTAAGTAAGTTCGGTAACGCCTTCCTAAATAGATTCCAATGCTCCACCGTCGTGTCCCCCGTCCTCCGCGGCATCTCCATAGTGGATACCCCCGGCATTCTCTCAGGAGAGAAGCAGCGAGTGGACAGAGGCTACGATTTCACGGGTGTCCTGGAATGGTTCGCCGAACGAGTGGATCGTATCATATTGTTGTTCGACGCTCACAAACTTGATATTTCCGATGAATTCAGAAGAAGTATTGAAGCTTTAAGAGGTCACGATGACAAAATTCGTATAGTATTGAACAAAGCTGATATGATTGACCACCAGCAGCTGATGCGAGTATACGGCGCGCTCATGTGGTCGCTGGGTAAGGTTCTCCAGACGCCCGAAGTGGCTCGAGTCTATATCGGTTCGTTTTGGGACCAGCCGTTGCGATATGACGTCAACAGACGTCTGTTTGAAGACGAAGAGCAGGATCTCTTCAGAGACATGCAGTCTCTTCCGCGAAATGCTGCATTACGTAAATTAAACGATTTGATAAAAAGGGCACGCCTTGCTAAGGTTCATGCATACATTGTAAGTGAATTGAGAAAAGAAATGCCTTCAATGTTTGGAAAAGATGGAAAGAAAAAGGAGTTGATCAAGAACCTCGGTCAAGTGTACGACCGCATCCAAAGAGAACAACAGATATCTCCTGGTGATTTCCCTGACATTAAGAAAATGCAAGAAACTTTGGCTAATCACGATTTCACCAAGTTCCACCCACTGAAGCCTAAGTTACTTGAAGTAGTTGACCACATGCTAGCGACAGACATCGCCCGGCTGATGGACATGATCCCACAGGAAGACGTCAACGTTGTCACAGAGCCTCTCATCAAGGGTGAGTACTTAGATAACTACTGCTCTTCTAGACAAATTGTTCTATATAAACACAATTAAAACTGAAATTGTTAAATATTTTCATAACATCCCTAATCTCGATTTGTTTTTAAAATACCTTATTTAATGTTAAATTATTTAATTAAGATCTGACTTTTTCCCTTTGTCCTATCCTATTTGATTCCTACCATTTTTTCTATAATTTATTATATGTTGACTGGTTGAAATATTACCACTCCTTTTGTACAAACACTTTAAATTACGTAGATATGTGTCATACACTACAGTGTTAATTTTGACATTGTGGTAAAACTCACTTTGTGCACTCAGTATGTTATATGAGTTGATAACATTAAGAAGTTAGAGCGCTATCAGTAGATATTGACCTGAATAAATGTACTTATCAGATACCGTGCACGGAATTTGCTGTTACTATTAGCGCCGCCATTAGCGTAAAGCATTCTTTCAGCGCTGACTTCATGCTTACACACACATTATATTGGTTCCTAATAAAGCTGGGTATATTTGTTTTACATGTTTCCTTACTGTAGTACTTCATGATAACTAATTTTACATTGGCGCTGTAACACAGTACTTAACTCATGTAATATATGACGCATTGTGTACTCGGAGCTCAGATAAATTTATTTTGTTGAATGGATGACGATATATGTACATTTTGCAATTATTTTAAGTGACATATCTTGCATAATTTAATATTTATTTATATTATTTAAAACTTTATGCACAAAAATTAAATACAAAAGTTTAAACTATTATACTAAAAATAAAATATGTGCAAGGGCGGCCTTATTGCTATGAGCAATATCTTACAGGCAACCCTGTGGGGATTTGTAGATATGTTTTATGCCATTATTTTACTACACATTTACAATAATATGACTAGTATACAAAATAATAAAAATGACTAAACTGTTCAATTTTTTAACCAAAAACATATCGTTCATACACTTGAAAGTCAGTTTCTCTATATTAATCTATACTACTCAAATTCCGCTCAAAGTTAATTAGTATGTATGAGTCATAGCATTTGCTACTTGAACTTTTGCTCTTAATTTATTACTTACCTTCTGTTCCTGTGCGGCTTTATCCAGATGTAATTATAAAAACTTCAATTTATTGTTTACATTTGTTGAATTTTCAATTGTAAATGTCATAATTACCATTACCATAATAATCTTCCAAACATTCATTGTTGACAGCTACTACTAGCTACTGGCTACGTTATGGTTTTTTCCCCATATGAAGGTTTTCCAATTTATTTACCCCCTAAGTTTAATAGCGTGGAATACGCCACGAAGTAGTTTTTGTTTACGCATTATTATATTAGTATGGAATTACGAATCAAATAAATTATTAGTGTCAAGTAAATATAAAAAGTGAACTATGTACTTGCTACGTATCGTAATGTCTAAGCGGTGAGCTGAGAGTCCGTGGTCTCGGAGATTCCGGTGCAACGCGAGCGCTAATGACACGACCAGCTCACGTCGCAACTGTACCTAACGACCGACGTGGGCCGAGCCTCCGCATCCGGACCTCTGCTAACTATGCTGCCTAGGTGTCGTTAGCAACCTTGTTGTCGACGTCCATGACGGCAAGACATTCAATCCTGACACAGTGATGTCTATATCATGAAAAAACTTGTAACAGCTGAGGTTAAAGGTACACGTCCTTGGCCTGCTTTATTTGAGTTGTTTTTTTACGTAAATATTGATGTACACATTAACTTTCTTCGCCTTACTAAAAATTAGCTGTAAAATTATTAGGATAGAGAAGACATTATCTTTGTGTGTTTTATATTTCCGTTGGACATAATGATAGAGCTCAAAACCCGGTAACAGTAAACGTGCTGCGACCATTCGTCATTGTACAATGGAACAATATATGGCACAATTAAAAGTAACAACAGCGCGGGAGGAAGCGGCGCGGGGGGGG